ACGAGCCTGGAAGTTACTTCCTATGTAACTTTCTGGTTGAGTAAACAGCTCTTGATAACATAACAAATATACGCCAGTATAGAAGCATCAGAGTCAATCTGCATTCAGCTCCTGGAACAGCAACGTGTTTCCAGAATCAGGTGGGCTGGTTATTCATCATTATTTATATCTAGCAGGCATCGCTCCCTGGCAATGCAATGATGTGATATTAATCCTGCTTTCAAACTAAACAATCCTGAGTTATTGGAAGCTATCTGAAAGTGACTAGTATAAGAAGGTATATGTGTTTACATATAGATGGTTTAATGGTAGACACTCGTTCATTTTTTTCATTCAATGATTATTTATTGAGCACATACTCTGTGCTAAGCACAAATCGAGTTCTGTGAAAATCCTATCTATTACACCTGCCTCAACCTGGATCAGCTCTGTTTATTTTCATTGGCGCACTGTGGGAGGTGGAAAACACGACCTCTCTCTCCTGTTTCTGGATTGGCTTTTCTAAGCAGGCAAGGTGCCCTTGTATTTTTTAAATCAAGTTAATTTCTACAGTAATAGTTCCACGTTGTTTTTACCCATTTGATTGTGCCTTGAATTTACAAAAATCTATTCCACTAAAAACCCGTTGTTTTAGTTTGGATCCCTCGTGATTGAAGACATACATAGATGATGCCCCTGCTCCATTTTAGTGTCGGAAGGTAGGTTTTTGTCACTGACATAGCAATTATTTTAGGATATCTAGTGGGAGGCTATTTGATATTTCATTAATAAAAGAGACATTTGTGGCTGGGCCAGATCCTGAAAACCATATATAAAATGTCATCCCTTTTATAACATGTTGATAGCATAGCCTAATGACAGCTTTAATAACTGTGAGTCTTCTGGCCTTGCAATTCTCTTCAAACGACCAGTTTTTCATAATGTGCCCTTTCAATCAATCTTCCATTATTTTACATAGGTAGCTCCGCTTTAAATACTAGTACAGGCTCCTAGGAATCTTTTCAAGGAAGCTGAAGCAACTTAAAATGCTCTAGGAAAGCTTAAGTCTTTCCTTTGCCTATTGTCTTTCTTCATATTCAGGGGGGGAAAAAGCAATATCGTGGATTATTACCTCTCATTTCAGGCATACTGAAAACAAACTTTTGGGATGCACACAAAAAAATCCCTTCCATTTCTATTCTCAAATATAGGTATTCATTCACTCATCTCATGTAACAGAATTATGCCTTCCATTCTATAATTAGCAATCTCTCACAAAACTATTCTGTATATCCTTTTTTCTCTAAGTTAGTTTTAATTTTATCTTCTTTATTGAATGGTAGGGAAAATCATGCATGCCTAATTCATTGTGGTATACTGTTTTTATTATTTAATAAAACATGGATTATGACTTGGTTGCTTTATAGACATACTAATAAGCGTGTGGTTTCTGTTAAAATTTCTTAGGAGAAAAATAATTCTGCATTGGGATAACTGTGCTAGAAAAGTATGTATAGTTTTTTGAAGGAAGATGGACATTTGCTTGCTGCAGTTGTTTTAAATTCATACATTCCTCGGGGGTTGTTTTTCTGTGCCTGCCTCAACATTAACTGTTAAAATGCTTATGTCATTGTAGACTTGGAAGTAAAAAAGTATATACTTACCTTTTTATAACCAATAATAATTAGTTTTCTCATTTGTTATTTGTAGTTTAATTTTGTGAATTTTAATTTCATTCTGAATTCAATTTTCAATTAGGGTGTTTTTTTCATAAGAGCTCACTTACATAAACAATATTAGTTGGTACATGTATTATAAATCACCAGATTGTCTTTTCTGCTTTAATTTTTAACATTTTCCAGATGACAACTGCTGATTTGATGCTGCAGATGAAACTTTAAATGAATTTATTCAGTTTAAATAATGATTTAGATGTATTAATTATACTTTATTTAAGGAATTCATTTCAGAAGAAACAGTACATTTACAATATTAAGTATTTCCTTTCAATAGCATGATCAACTTGTCCTTTTATTTAATTTTTTTTATGTGGCATCCTGGATAGATGATATTTTCTGGATATCATCACTGCCTGAACCTCCCCTGTGATCCATCTATTCATCTTTCCCTAATTTCACCCAAACTCCAGGAAATCACTGAACACTGCATTCATTCTATAGTTTTGCCTTTCCTGGACATCATATAACCAGAATTATACAATGTTTAGTTTTCTTCTTACTAGATTTTTTGTTGTAGTAGTATAAATTTAAAGACTTTCCATGTCTCTTGTGGATGATATTTCATTTTTTATTGCTGAATAATATTCCTTTGTAGGAATATACCCCAATGTATTTATCAATTCTCTTAATTGAAGGACATCTTGGTTGCTTTTAACTTTGGCAATTATGAATGAAGTTGCTATAAACATTCCTATAGAAGTCCTTTAACCGGGGAATATCATTTATAGACCATGTGCTAAAACCATTTAGCTTTGCAAGAAACTCCCAAACTGCTTTGGGAAATACAGACATTTTAACAATGTTGATTCTTCTTAGCCATGAGCATTATATGTTCTTCCATTTGTTAATAACAATAATTTTTAAATGTGAATAATTTTAATGTGTAAATGACAGTGATACAGATTTCCCTATATACACAGGTTGCCCCCCAAAATGTATACACATTTTAAGAAAGGTAAAAACTATATTAAGGTTGTAACACTCAATACATACCGATCACACAAGATTAATAAAACCATGTTTGAGCACCTCATGTAATTGCAAAGTCAAACACGTTATGAAAATCTCTTATTTATATAATAAACTCACTTCAGATTTAAAGCAAAATGTAAATTAAGAGAAGGAGAAAGCAATTCCAAGATAAGTCTAATCAAAAGACAGCATTATTTTATATTTTAGATATAGTGAACATGAAAACAAGGTAAATCATCACAGATAAATGAGAACATTACAAAATAATAAAAACGTTGGCTCTCCAAGAAGTCAGACAATCCTTAACATGTACGTCCTTAATAAAAGAACATCAAAACTCATTGTCTTCTGATGAGTTGGTTTTTATTTTGTTAAAATTTTAAATAGTATTTTATTTTCTTTTATTGTTAACACAAAATAGGTCCTATGTAAGAAATATTTGCTTCTTTTCATATCATGAGGTTAAAGTATTTTTTTCTCAAAGTGCTCCTTTTGTCTATTAGATTTATTTTTAAAAGACTTTATTTCTTGATTTTTAAAGAGTAGTTCTATATGTCTGGCTTCCATTATTTCTGATGCAGTCTGGTTATATTTGTTTTCATGCATTTTGTTCTTGTCATATTTTTTCTTTATTGTGTGTTTATTACACAGATACTTTTCTTTCACAATAGTATCAAAGTAAAGAATAATTTACAGGGAAAAAAACAGCATTCAAATATTGGTAAATTAATATCCATTCTAAGTAATTAAGGAAGTAATCATGAAAGATTTTATCTAAACCTTTATCTTTTACCAATTTGACTAGTATGCTCACAATTCTTTGAAATTATCTTGATTGAAATTCACTGAATTCTGATGTGTGAATTGGTGGTCTTCATTAACTTAGAACGTGGTCACTGGTGCTGATTAACCAAAAAAAAAAAAAAAAAAAGAGGAAACTTCTGCTGTACCATTCATTTCCTCTGCTCAGGCATATTCTTTGTTTCTTCAGTTACATGTACATCTGTTAATTCCAAGTTCTGTGTTATATACATTTCTACTTCTTTTGAGGCATAGATCTTATATCTCAGCAGAAGTAGTGCATAGAAATATCTCCAGGGGATACTATCAGGCATTCTGTAGGTGAGGGATGGTAATTTTGACTGAGGCATTGCATATATCTTCTGTCTCAGCAGAAGTAATACATAATGTGTATGCCTCTTTACCTAACTATTGTGTCAAATGCTTGCGATTACCAAAAAGGATACATTTTTCATCACACATAACAGTGTGGTATAGAAATGATTCATCTGTATGTTAGTACAGTAAAGAAAGGCAAGCATGGAGATTTCTCTTCTGATACTTGTTTAATTCCTGTGGAACTCATCTATCCAGCTTCTTTACCTTGTTGATTTGTTTTAACCGGCCCAGTACACCTGCTGTCGCACCAGGAACACCAAACCTCGCACCATACATTGAAACGCATTTGCTTCCACTATTGCGTTCGGCTTATCCACTTGGTCTCAGGTCACTCACGTGGCTCTTTTTCAAGATTAAAATAACCAGAACAGAACTTCTCAAGCTATCGACATCTCATGCATTCCTTAGTCACGTTCTTAGTCATCCATCTCATGCATTCCTTAGTCACGTTCTTAGTCATCCATCTCATGCATTCCTTAGTCAC